CCAGGGAATACAGTTTTAGGAACCTCAAGCACTCCCAGTAATTGAGGTGTTTTATCTCCGTTATGCGCGCCGTGAAGGTTCTCTGTACATTTTCTAGGTCAGCAATTTCACCTGCCTTGAAAGGTGCTGTTAGTGTGCAGCAATATTCCAGCCTAGGTAGAACAAGTGACCTGAAAGAGTGTCATCATGGGCTTGGCCTCCCTAGTTTTGAAGGTTCTCATTATCCATCCTGTCATTTTTCTAGCAGATGCGATTGATACAATGTTATGGTCCTTGAAGGTGAGATCCTCCGACATGATCACTCCCAGGTCTTTGACGTTGTGTTTCGCTCTATTTTGTGGCCAGAATTTGTTTTGTACTCTGATGAAGATTTAATTTCCTCGTGTTTACCATATCTGAGTAATTGAAATTTCTCATCGTTGAACTTCATATTGTTTTCTGCAGCCCACTGAAAGATTCGGTTGATGTCCGCCTGGAGCCTTGCAGTGTCTGCAATGGAAGACACTGTCATGCAGATTCGGGTGTCATCTGCAAAGGAAGACACGGTGCTGTGGCTGACATCCTTGTCTATGTCGGATATGAGGATGAGGAACAAGATGGGAGCGAGTACTGTGCCTTGTGGAACAGAGCTTTTCACCGTAGCTGCCTCGGACTTTACTCTGTTGACGACTACTCTCTGTGTTCTGTTAGTGAGGAAATTATAGATCCATCGACTGACTTTTCCTGTTATTCCTTTAGCACGCATTTTGTGCGCTATTACGCCATGGTCACACTTGTCGAAGGCTTTTGCAAAGTCTGTATATATTACATCTGCATTCTTTTTATCTTCTAGTGCATTTAGGACCTTGTCGTAGTGATCCAATAGTTGAGACAGACAGGAGCGACCTGTTCTAAACCCATGTTGCCCTGGGTTGTGTAACTGATGGGTTTCTAGATGGGTGGTGATCTTGCTTCTTAGGACCCTTTCAAAGATTTTTATGATATGGGATGTTAGTGCTATCGGTCTGTAGTTCTTTGCTGTTGCTTTACTGCCCCCTTTGTGGAGTGGGGCTATGTCTGTTGTTTTTAGTAACTGTGGGACGACCCCCGTGTCCATGCTCCCTCTCCATAGGATGGAAAGGCTCGTGATAGGGGCTTCTTGCAGTTCTTGACGAACACGGAGTTCCATGAGTCTGGCCCTGGGGCAGAGTGCATGGGCATGTCATTTATCGCCTGTTCGAAGTCATTTGGCGTCAGGATAACATCAGATAGGCTTGTGTTAACCAAATTTTGTGGCTCTCTCATAAAAAATTCATTTTTATCTTCGACTCTCAGTCTGGTTAGCGACTTGCTAAAAACTGAGTCATATTGGGACTTGAGTAGCTCACTCATTTCCTTGCTGTCATCTGTGTAGGACCCATCTTGTTTAAGTAGGGGCCCAATACTGGACGTTGTTCTCGACTTTGATTTGGCATAGGAGAAGAAATACTTTGGGTTTCTTTTGATTTCATTTATGGCTTTTAGTTCTTCCTGCGATTCCTGACTCCTATAAGATTCCTTTAGCTTGAGTTCGATGCTTGCTATTTCTGACCAGGTCTCCCTAGCATTTCTGAACCTAAATTTATTTTGTGATCTGAGTATATTGTTTTTTGTATGGTGACATTTCTTATCAGTCACATTTTTTATGAAGATGAGGTCTAGTGTATTCTCCAGTCTATAGGCCTATTATTTGCTGGTTTACATTGAATTTTGTGCAGAGATTTAAACTCGTGTAGTGTGAGTTTTCATCAAGCTCCTCCTGGTGTTATTACTGCAACAATATTATTTGCTATATTCCTCCATTTTAGGTGCCTTAAGTTGAAATCCCCCAGGAGCAAGATGTTGGGTGCAGGAGCGGGAAGATTTTCCAGACAGGGGTTCAATTTTTAACAGCTGTTCCTGGAATTGCTGGGATGTTGCATCCGGAGGCTTGTAGACTACCACAATGACTAGGTTTTGGTTCTGGGACCTTTACTGCTAAAACTTCCACAAACATCATTTGAGGCATTTAGCAGTTCTGTGCAAAACAAGTGACTCTGCAATGTACAGGCCAACCCCCCCCCCCCCCCTTTTGCCTGTTCACTCTGTCACATCTGTATAGGTTGTAACCTGGGATCCATATTTCGTTGTCCAAGTGATCCTTATGTGGGTCTCAGTGAAAGCCGCGAACATTGCCTTTGCCTCTGCAAGCAGTCCACGGATGAAAGGTATTTTGTTGTTTGTTGCTGGCTTTAGACCCTGTATATTTGCAAATAAGAATGTCATCGGACTGGTGGTATTGTTGGTACTGGGGGGGGGGGGGATTTTTTTTCCGGCATTAGTATCTGTATCTGTTGGTTTGGAGTGGAGGCCATCGACTGTGGTTCCACTCCAGGAATGACTGGATTTGGTGTACGATTTCTGCCATTTCCTGCCAGTTTTTTTTCCTTCCTGGCACTAAAAAACCTCTCCCTCTTGAGTGGCTGTGGCTACCCAGGTTTTCCCATGGCCTGGATGTTTTGTATCTTTTTGTACCCTTTAGATGGTGTGCCTGGCAATTTAAGTTATAGCACAGTCTTTCCTGTACTGAAGAGGTACACATTTCAGGGTGAAAAAGCTTACAGGAAGGGAGTTTGCATTTTCCTGTTGTCATATGGGCATGGCATTTTCTAGGGTGGTCATAGTTGCACGTCCTGTCTGTTTTTCCAGATTTCCCATGTCTGCAGATACCAAGTGCATAGTATGTGTAATAGGACAGTATATATATAATTGGGGCCCTGATATTATATTCTATAAGGAGTTTATTAAATTATTTCAGGTCACTTTTTATATTGTATCTTTATATATGCTTCTAATTTGGTGTATCTGGGCGCCTCTGCAAAAACAGTGTTTATGTATGAGTGTGGTTAAAGTGTTGAATGATGATGAAAGTATTTTCATTTTGGGGATTTTCTTTCTTTTTGGGTCACCCTGCCTAGGTGGGAGACAGCCAACTTGTTGAAAAAAATAAAAAAAAAAAATTATTTCAAGACATCACAATGTCTGGAGTTGAAGAGCATTTTAACTTGGATGAAATAATAATATTTAGTTTAAGAACCAAGAAAAGGGCTCATACAAGTTGAAAATATATTTAGCTGTAACATACACATGGTTTTCTAGGTCAAGAAACAAAGGTGCTGTATGTTAGATATAAAGGAAGTCTAGAATTGATCCTAACACTCAGTGTTAGTGTACAATAACTATTGGATTGTGTATATTTTTACTTTAATTTTCATGGCATTTTGACTTGGATTCAGCTGCATATGTGGGATATAAAAAGTAATGCTGTATTTGTCTCTTATGGTGTGTGTGGGTTCTGTTATAACTCTTCAGGAAAAGCCTTAAGTCTGGGTTAGCTTTAAGGAAAAGAAGCTATGTTTCAGACAGTGAGGTTTGGACATACCATTCATTTGAGAGAATAACTGAACCTGCACTCTCAAGATTGCGCAAGAATGCATACTGTTATAATGTCATCACTGCCCACCACTGTGACCGAAGCTTGTTCACAGGATTTATGTGAATGCAGTTTTATAAAAATATTCACACTTTCAATATATTTTTTAGGTGAAATTTCACTAGCACTGTCACTGTGAATGTTAGCCACTGGTACCAAAAAATTAATGAAACTTTATTGTACTGCATTACTAAGGAATCTGTGTTCATCTAGTGCAACGTTTTTATGACTAAGAGTAGACAAGTAGACAGAAGGGATACTTCAGACAGCTGCTCACTAATAATTACTGCTCACTAAGTGCAGCCCCACATTATACCGTATTTTATTATTACTGTAACTCCTGAGACCGACACTGAGGAGCCTGATACAGTACAAACAAACTCCCAAGAGTCAAGTTTCTATGGGTCTCATGAATCTATAATTCATGAATACAAATTTTTCATCACAAAATCGTAATAAAACGATTGCAAACCATGGTACAGGTGGAGCTCGAACTCATAACAAGAGTCGTAAAACTCCAGACCAGCGCATAAGCCATTGGCCTGGAGTTTTATGACTCGCTTGCCGTGAGTTTGAGCCCCACCCGTACCATGGTTTAATACAAAATTCTCTCTCTATAATAAATATATTTTGTTTCAGATTTGGATTCACTTTGTTTCAGAGATGCTATCTCTTTCTTTCACTGATCTTGTTAATATTGATATTTACAAGAAAGAAAGGCAAACTGAATGTTTTAGGTTTTAAAGTAATGAGTGAAGTAAAAAAAGTTTAGGTAGAGGAAACTTGCATATATAGTAATTTAATTTACTCACAAAGTGTTCATAAGTAAAAATGCAATATAATCAAATCTTGCAAATTACAAAATTCACAACTTTGGGAGTCTGATTGTGCTTTTTACTAAAACAAAATATTTAAATGCCAGAGGAGGGAATAGATATGGACCAGATATAAAAGAGCCTAGCTATATAGCATCTTTGTTAAGATATACCAAACAAATAAAGAAGTTTTATGCAGTGAATTGGTGTAAAATTACGAGGAGTGCAATCTCTGAGGTATTAGTAATATGACACTGAAACTGTGAAAAAGAACGCAAGTGATGCTGAAGCCTTATATAAATTATTTCAAACAATTTCAATAATAAAAAGGTCTGAAATTCTGTAAATAATATAAATCAGTCAGAAAAAATTAACAAACCCATAAAAATCATAAAAAAAAATCCTAATACTGTACTGTATTATTTAATGACTGACTGACTGACTGCTAGTAAATGCCTCAAATGACATTGATCATGTAAATATATAGTATGAAAATTATAGGATGCTTGTAAGTCTACCATTGCTCCCACCAAGTGATGACACAGTGAAAGGCTACACAACATGATCATGGGCTTCATCTACTGTGCACAACACATGGATACAACAAGACATATAAGTTGAAGTCTGGGAGATTTAGTACACCAAAAATTTATCAGAACCAGAATAAAATATAGCTGCATCATACTCAAACTCACTTTATTGTATATATATTGTCCAACAGGAAGATGCTCTTTTCGTAAGACCCCCGTATTGTTGAGTTCTTGTATGTTTATGACATCATATTCGGCATTAATCCGGTCACCATTTTCGTCAAAAGCAACCTTACCCGTGAGGCCATTCTTCAAAACCTGTTCTAGAATGTATCTGAAATGAAAAAAAATTGAAAACTTACTCAGGAGAGTTTCATACACCACAAGTGCAATTCTTTTGCAAAGACTGAATGAGCATAAATTATGTACAGTGGACCCCCATGTTTCATGATTAATCCTTTCCAGAGAGCCTGCCGAAAGTCGAAATTCACGAAACTCGAAACCATTTTCCCCATAAGAAATAATGGAAATAAAATTAATCCGTTACAGACACCCAAAAATATTAAAATAAAAATTTTTTTTTCAAATTAAATAAAGATTTACATACTGAAAACAATCAGAAATCAAGTACATGCATATAAAAAATAATAATAACATTACACTTACCTTTACTGAAGACTTCTGGGTGGATGGAAGACGGGAGGAGGGGATAGGAGGAAGGTGTACACTATTGTTTGGAAGGAGAATCTCCTTCCATTAGGACTTCAGGTAGCAAGTTCTTTTCTGGGGTTACTTCCCTTCTTCTTTTAATACCACTGGGAACAACTTGAGAGTCACTGGACCCCTGTCACACAAAATATCTGTCCAGAGAGGTCTGTTTCTGGCATTTCTTTATGATTTGCCTGAAGTGGGACAAGGTTTTGTCACTGAACATGTTGCAGATATGGCTTGTTTCAGCTTGGTCAGGGTGATACTTTTCAACAAAACTTTGCAACTCATTCCACTTTGAACACATGTCCTTAATCACCGAAAAAGGCACCTCCTTCACTCTCTTTTCCTCCTCCTCTGAAGCAGTTCCTCAGCTGTGGTCTGATGCTGTTCCAGTTGAAGCTCCTGCAGTTCGTCAGTGGTTAGCTCTTCCCTGTGGTCCTCCACCAACTCTTCCACATCCCAGTCACTCACCTCCAACCCCATGGACCTGCCCAATGCCACAACACCTTCCACAACAGGCAGAGGGTCGGCAGGGTCAGGGTCTGCCTCAAACCCTTCAAAATCCCTCTGGATCGTGTTCTTCACTTTATTTACCAAAGGGCTTGCACTAGCTTTCCTTGGGCCCATGGTGACTTATTTAGCAGTTGCAATCACAAAAAACAATGGATTATTATGAATGAACCTGCGGGGTGATGGTCACGTGTTGGTAAACAATGGCACACTGAGCGTGAATGGCGTGGGAGACTGGCTTTGTGTGCGTGGTGACGGGTGGATGAGTACCGGACGGTCGCTGAATCACGAGCCTAATCACGAAACTCGAGGCCAAATCTTGCCGAAAAAACTTGCCAAAAGTCGGATTTCATAAAAGTTGATGCTGCTGAAACTCGAGGGACCACTGTATTCATTTCCTGAAGATACAAAGTAATGTCATTTCCAGAAAGGAGTAGACCATCTTATCTAGTATGTTATATCCTGCGGAAAATTTTACATTTTATGTTATTTAATTAGTATATTTCTCTTCTGTTTGATCGGAAATTATTACAGGCAGGTTCCTCTTTACAGGGCTTCACTTTACAGCATTTTGCTAATACAGCCTCTCCTCACTTAACGATGGAGTTCCATTGCTAAGACCACATCGGTAAATGAATTTGTCATTAAGCAAGGAGCATACTATAATGGTAGTGGGTTTGTGTCAATCATCTTTGATATTGTTTTAATGTCACCTTTGCACCATTTATAACATTTATAGTATATTTTTAAATGTTTATACAGTAGTGTACTGTATAATGTAATAAACAGAATAGAGGAAATCAGCTCTAATATACATTATTTAGGTATGCATACAGGTCAGAGAGCCCATCGTAAGTCCGAGTAGTCGGTAAATGAGTATGTCGCTAAGTGAGGAGAGGCTGTAATAATAATTGCTCTGAAGTGCTTTAAATTTAAGTCATAAATTTCATGTAGCTGTGGTAGCTGTTGTGGGAGCTACCACACCTGACTTTCTACAATAAATACTCACATTTCACCCTACATTAAGACATATTTTAGGGTAAAAAATGAGTGTACTGTATTTTATTGCTCTGAGGCGCTTTAACCCTTTGACTGTTTCCGACGTATAAATACGTCTTACGAGCCAATGTTTCTGACGTATTTATACGCATAAATTCTAGCAGCTTCAAATCAAGCAGGAGAAAGCTGGTAGGCCCACATGTGAGAGAATGGGTCTCCATGGTCAGTGTGCACCATATAAAAAAAATCGGGGAGCCAGTGGTGCATTGTGGGAATGCCATTTCAGTTGTCATTTTTCAGCATGTCTAGCGGTAAGAAATATGTGATTCCCCAGCAAATCTGGGACTCTTCTCTTCCCAAGTGATGCTCTAACACAGATGGAAGTGTCAGTGAAGATCAATTTCATGATTTGGAGGAGTTTGAGACCAAAAGCAATGGAGGAGGAGGAGGGGGAGGAGGGGAGGAAGAGGAGGAGGAGGAGGAGGAGGAGGAGGAGGAGGGAAGGAAGAGGAGGAGGAGGAGGAGGAGGAGGAGAAGAGGAGGAGGAGGAGGAGGAGGAGGAAGAAGAAGATGTAATAATATTGTTCCCTTGAAGCAAGAAAAAAAAAAGTCCACCCCATGACAGTGACAAGATAAGGGGAGATAACATCTGATAAGAGCTGACTTTGATGAGGGTAAAGGAGGGTAATATTACATGACCATTGCCCTCCCTTTGTTTTTGCTGGTACACAAACATTTCTGTCTGTCTATTTGTCTGTCTGTCAAGCTCCCTGTCTGTCCATCTAGCTCTCTGTCTCAGAGAGAGCCACAAGACTGTGTCATCACGTTTACTCACATCTTCAAGCAGAGTATAGCACTTTGTCTGGATTTCTTGGGTTATCCTAGGTAATTTACACTATGTATACTTGTATTTATGTGTACCTGTGAGACAGAGATAGGCAGACAGATAAAAAGAGAGACGATTGAAAGATATAAAATGAGGGAGAAAGATAATTAGATAGAATGGAGGAGGGGAAGCAGCATCCGACCCCATTGTTTTGACAGGCGGTGGGGGTAGTGACTAATAAACACAATATGTCACTTTGCCCAGCTCCCGACTCCTGACTCAAAACAATTATAAGCCACACACTCGCACACAAGGGGGGAGGAGGAGGAGGAAGAAGAAGAAGAGGAGGAAGAAGAAGAAGAGGAGGAAGAAGAAGGGGAAAGGGAAGAAGAAGAAGAGGAGGAAGAGGAGGAGGAAGAGGAGGGGGAAAGAGGAGGAGGAAGAGGAGGAAGAGGAGGGGGAAGAGGAGGAGGAAGAGGAGGAGGAAGAGGAGGAGGAAGAGGAGGAGGAAGAGGAAGAGGAGGAAGAGGAAGAGGAAGAGGAAGAAGAAGAAGAATTGTTGTTTGTTTTTGTAAACAAGTTTTGTAAACAATATATTGATAATTATGTTTGTGTGCTTGTTGTGTTGTAAAACAACGAGTGTAAAATATATACATTGCACCTTACTTTGGTCTCATAGGCCACATAAGTTATGTGAAAAAATAAAATAGTGAAAAAAACAAAAAACCTTCAATTACAAGTAAACTAAAGTTTACCGGGTGAGCGGCAGTCGCCGCTGTTGCCATACGCGGCTCATTTTCTGCAAACTTCATGGCTCTATATCTCGGTAAGTACCGATGGCAAAAATTTTTTTTTTGGACTAAAACACTCAGAAAAATAATCTTAACATTTTCATAAGAAAAAATAATTTTTTTTTTTTTTGAATATTTGGCGACATAGAATGACAGTTTCAGAGAGGGACCTGAAACAGTCAAAGGGTTAAATGTCATATATTACGTGTGGGTGTGGTATCCGGGCAAGCTACTATACTTACCACCTGACTTCTTACAATAAATACTACTCACCTCTCACCTTACATTAAGATTACACATATTTTAAGGTAAGTAATGTGTGTAATATATGTGCATTTTATTTCTTATTGTTTTTAATGCATGCTCGGTGGGAGACGGCCGACTTGTTGAAAAAAAAAAAAAAAAAAAAAAAAATAAACTTGTTATCTGGCATTTATAAATGGAAAAAAAAGGTGTATCCATTTGCAACAGGAGTTAAGAGTAGACAAAATTTCGAGTGTTTAACCTAATAATCTAAAGAAGTAGGAAAAATAACCCTAAATTAATTAAAATAACAATTGCAAACTGTCAAAACACTAAACTCCAAACAATAACTGTAATAAAACACACTGTCAAAACACTAAACTCCAAACAATAACTGTAATAAAACACAAGTGATTAAGAATGTTGGAAGGGAAAAGCATAAGAAGGGTTAACACTTACTGGAAGAGCATTTTGCCTGTCTCCCAAGAAGTACCAGTGTTGTTACAGTCCTGCGGAGGCTTCTCTGTCGTGTTATGATCTTCTCTTAACTTCTTTATGGCCATTGCCAGTATGTACCTAGAAAAAATTTACCAGATAAATGCAGGCAAACTAATTAGCACTCCAAAAATTAGAAAAATATTCTCAAAAATTAACCAAGCCTTTACACAACTAATAAAATTATGCACAATAAGAATCAAATTACAACCTGACTGACCCCTATTTCCCAGACACTGTTCGACTCTTACAGGTTTGGAACTTTCCTGTGAATATAATAATAATTAAAATCAGGCTGACAGATATGACCTCAAGCATACAACACATAATGTGTAATAGAATATGATGGGAAGAGGATAGTGTATGATGGGTGTCCTTAAGTAATTATACAGCATGACCCCCCATATCTACAGGGGAAATGTTCCAAGGACATGCCGCAGATACCGAAACCGCAGATAGTAGCGAATCCTATATACAAGTTGTTTTTCGTTTACATGCATACCTATTATAATGTTTAATCGATAAATTATGCACAGTAAATATAGAATTATCACTTTTTCACTGATGGCAAGCACTTCATGGCTTCTCTTAGGCTTTGAAGAACTGCCACCATTAATACTTTCGCAATACGATGCCAATATTAAGCAAAGTTAAGGCTATTTTCAGGTCATGGTAAATTGTGGAAACCAGACCCGCGGATACGAGGGCCCTACTGTAGTTAGCTCCTGTACTAGTTTTGTTAATAAAACAATCCATCTCTCACATCACTGACTTAAAAACTTTATAACTACAGTACCACTACCACTTCCTTCCCTTGCAGTCCACTACATCCACCCAACACTCATTCCTGTACATACACTTTATTTATCAATCATAAACAGTGAGGCATGCGATAGGTCCAGGACCTGTAGCTCAACTTTATCATTAGGCATATGGTAGGTCCTAGGAGTGTTGCTCAGTTTTCTCAGCTAGGCATGTAATAGGTCTTGTAACTGTAACTTAACTTCCTCAGTTAGGCATATAGTAGGTCAAGGAAATTTAGCTCACTTACCCTTTTCATACTGTTTTACAATGAAGTAGATTTTGGGTGTTTCAGCTATGACATAAAAAACTAACCTTTCCATTATTTTGCAGATGAAAGTTCCATTGCTGAATTAGCAAAATAAATGTTACAGAGATGTAAATATTGTACAATGTTACAACTTTAGAAAATGTATGAAAAATTATTTCTAAAATTTTTACCTAAATTGTACAGGATCTTAAATTCAAGGCACATTATGGATTTAACATTCCATATGCAGCTAACTAAGGTACTAGCAGACTAATTACTCATTGGGCTATATAATACCTACAGTAATGCTGAATTTGCTGTGTTAGGTTAGGGTAGGCAAGGTTCATCAGGAAACAGGACAAGTGTTTCCTGGCGCAGGTCTTAGTCAGATGATGACCAGCTGTTGGAGTTTTTGGTCATCTGACCGAGGCCTTCCACTGGCTTACCGGTCCACGCCTTTAACCCTTAAACTGTCCAAACATAGATCAACGTTTGCTCGCGTAGCACTCCGAACGTAGATCTACATTAAATTTTACATGCTTTCTTATGCAAAAAAAAAAAAAAAAAGTAGATCTATGTTCAGAGCACTACGCGAGCGAACGCAAATCTGCATTTGGACAGTTTAAGGGTTAAAAACTGTGGTCATAGTTACAACCATATTTTTATTATATTTTCTGTGTAATCTTTGAGAAAATTACAACAATTCTAAGGAGATTAAAATCTTATTTTCAAACATTCACATGTAGGACTTACAAACTGTCAGTGATGTGAGCATTCTCATCAGAGGCATTGACAAGTTTGAGACCGATGGCTCCTGCTGGCACGTGATTGGCACTGAGGGCCTGCTCAGTCACCACCCACACGTACCCCCGCCCGGTCATGTTCATGTAGCTGGCATCGTGGAAGATTGTTCCAGCATCTTCTTTGCTGCACAAAGGAAAAGGGTGCAACACTGTTTGGAAAAATCACACAGAACCATAGCAAAGAAAAACAAATATATTATTAAATAGAATACAAATGCTCTACAGATTTATCTTGTATGCACTAAGTACAGTAAGATCAAAGAGTTAGTTCTACATAATGCCATCCTGTGGTAAACAGTTCAAGATACTATACTTAATTTTTACAATCTCATGAAATAGCACCGAGAATATAGATTTTTTAATCTGTTTTAAATTTTTTTTGGAACACCTCAACTAGAACCAACTAGAACATGAATCATAGATACATTACTGTCTTTACAACTTAATTTAGATCTGCAAACCCTACTGAGAATGAGACTGGTCTACAGTACATGGCCACAAACATACGTTATCAGCCTTATATTGTACTAAAGAGATTTTGAACATATGTATTTGTTTAGTTCTTCAATGCTGGGTCCTGCTTGATCTTCTTTAATGTGCATCCTTATACTTCCCGTGGCTATAAGTAATTGCAATAACTTAGGAAAAATAACATTAAACTGGCTAGTTGATTACTTGCACAACCTCTCCTGGTGACTTACTTGGCATAGAGTAGGATGACACGAGCTGAGGCCTCCCTCATCTCTTTGAGTTTGTCCACGAATGAATTAAGACCAGGCTCAAATTCTATCACATTTTCCATCTGCAAGATCGTACATATACAAATGTGTGTATATGGCAGTGTAACATATACAGTACTATATGTTGCCATGTGCAGTACCATCTTTTATGCTGTACATAATAGATATTTTTAAAATTTTGCCAAGACATAAAAATAATGACTCCACCTTATACAGATATAAAATACTCAAATGATCCTATGCCAGACTGTCCAAAGGCTTAATGAATTTTTGAAATACAGTACAGTAAACCCTTCATTATCCCCTTAACTCTGGCATACCCAGAAAAAAAAAATTCCTACAGAATAAAAAGAGTGCATTTTGATGACTCTAATAAGACTAAAAGTGAGTAGAATCTTACAAAAACTTACTATTTTATGGTGCACTGAATCTGTCAAAAAATTATCACTCATCGGCAACAGTGGCATAAATGCTCCAACGATATTTACATTCTACAATTTATTGACCCTAGGTAGTAGGTCGGTAGACAGCAACCACCCAGGGAGGTACTACCGTCCTGCCAAGTGAGTGTGAAACGGAAACCTGTAATTGTTTTACATGATGGTAGGATTGCTGGTGTCTTTTTTCCTGTTTCATAACATGCAGGATACCAGGTATATCTTGCTACTTCTACTTACATTTAGGTCACACTACACATGCATGTACATGCAAATATATATAATACCCATCTGGGTTGTATTCTATTTTCTTAATGGTTCTTGTTCCTCATTCTTTCCTCTTATCTCCATGGGAAAATGGGACAGAATTCTTCCTCTGTAAGCCATGTGTCGTAAGAGGTGATTAAAGTGCTGGGAGCAAAGGACTAGTAATCCCTTCTCCTGTATAAATTATTAAATTTAAAAAGAAACACTTTTGTTTTTCTTTTAAAATATGGCTTCCCCCCAATCAGACTGTTAAAAAGAGAGTTTAATGTACATATTTCAAAGATTATGCAAAAAAATCTGAATCCGTATCAATGACTATTTACAGTGCTTGGAAAAAAAAAAAAAAAAATCCAGACCTTGTTTTACCAACGCTCTTATATGGGTGTGAAGCATGGGTGATGAATGTTGCAGCGAGGAGAAGACTGGAGGCAGTGGAGATGTCATGTCTGAGGGCAATGTGTGGTGTGAATATAATGCAGAGAATTCATAGTTTGGAAGTTAGGAGGAGGTGCGGGATTACCAAAACTGTTGTCCAGAGGGTTGAGGATGGGTTGTTGAGGTGGTTCGGACAAGTAGAGAGAATGGAGCGAAACAGAAAGACTTCAAGAGTGTATCAGTCTGTAGTGGAAGGAAGGCAGGGTAGGGGTCGGCCTAGGAAAGGTTGGAGGGAGGGGGTAAAGGAGGTTTTGTGTGTGAGGGGCTTGGACTTCCAGCAGGCATGCGTGAGCGTGTTTGATAGGAGTGAATGGAGACAAATGGTTTTTAATACTTGACGTACTGTTGGAGTGTGAGCAAAGTAACATTTATGAAGGGATTCAGGGAAACCGGCAGGCCGGACTTGAGTCCTGAGATGGGAAGTACAGTGCCTGCACTCTGAAGGAGGGGTGTTAATGTTGCAGTTTAAAAATTGTAGTGTAAAGCACCCTTCTGGCAAGACAGTGATGGAGTGAATGATGGTGAAAGTTTTTCTTTTTCGGGCCACCCTGCCTTGGTGGGAATCGGCCAGTGTGTTAATAAATAAAAAAATAATAATAAAAAAAAAAAAAACAATAAGGACATTATAGAACAAAAACTGCAATACTTGGTACTTATAATATTTTTGTCATCTCCCCTTGTCCTAGACCATTGGAAGCCGGATGGACATGCTTTCACTCAGTGTCCTGAAGTAATCAATGGGTAACTGGTGACCCAATTGTCCTTAATCTACTGCTGCAGGCACAGCGTGGATGAAATGTGGCAGGATTCCATCTTTTTTATAATATTCTAGGCATTCTCAATAGGACTGAGGTATGAACTATTCCCTGGCCACTGTAAAACCTCAATATTTTTCTCAGCAAGCCACTTTTTTGGCCTTCTTAAAGGGAGTGCTATCATACATAATGGTGGTGCAGCCTCCAATATAAAAAGAACGAAACAGTCTAGATTCATAATGCGTATTTGATGCTATACTTCATCTGGATGTTTTCTGGAGGTATCTGTCAACTCTCTCTGTTAATACAAAAGACTGCAATATGTATCACCTTTCAGAGAGCCTGCATATGCCAGTGAGAAGGTGTTCTGTTGCACTACTATATTCCCAAGTGCTCAAGATCTGGAGCAGTATTTAGTACCACAATTTTGTTTCAAATGAATATGGGTTGTATACACTATGATGAGTAGTATATTGGCTTGGAGACAAGAATAAGTCACTGTAAAGAAAATCTGTCACCATACTGGATGAGCAAAGTCCAGTGTAATGGTGTTACTTGTTGCCACCCATGGCCTCCCACCAAATCCTGTTCCTGCTACAAAACCTCAAACTGGTCGACCCGAGAGAATGTCTAAACACAAATAGTATACCATTCTATGCAGAGAACTACATAGAAATCCACAAATGACTGTATCACACCTCAAAGAAATGCATCCTGAGCTCCTCAATTAGATGCATCCATTACTTCATGCAAAAATGACCTCTGCCTGCCAAGTCGCCATGCTGCAGGGAAACCCTACTCTCGCTCCATATTAAGAAGGAACGTCTGCAGTTTTCCAGGTAATATGCACATTGGAAAGTTGATGACTGAAAAGAAGTCATGTGGTGAGATGAATCCACATTTTGGTGCATTCAAGGTCATCAAAGAAGGATAAGGTACTCCTCCTCCATCAGAAGGTATAACCCTGCATTTACAGTGAGCACAGTAAAGTACATCTACATACCATCATGGTTGGGGTTGCTTTAGTGGTTTACATTAGTCATGGCAGTTTTACTTCCTTTTCCATAAGGTTACAATGAATGCTGACCACTACATCACCGTTCTTGAGGACACCTGGTGAATATTTTCTAAATTCATGGCGGCACCACCTACACATATGCTAGTGCTCCCTGTCGCAAGGCCAAAAAAAGTAACCAAGCGGCTCGCTGAGAAAAATACTGAGGTTATTACAGTGGGCCAAGGAATAGTCTAGACCTCAATCCTATTGAGAGTGCCTGGAATATCATGAAAATGAAGATGGAATCCCGCCACATTTTATCCATCTTGTGCCTGCAACAAGAGATGATGAACATTTGGGTTAGCCAGTTATCAACTGATTACTCCAGGAAACTGAGTGAATGTATGCTCAAACGGCTTCAAATGGTCGTCAAGGTTATGGGGGAGACAACAAAATATTAACTTAAGTACCAAGTGTGTATGTATTACAGAATTCTACATCTGTAAACCATGTACTCACCTAGTTGTACTCACCTAGTTGAGGTTGCGGGGGTCGAGTCCGAGCTCCTGGCCCCGCCTCTTCACTGATCGCTACTAGGTCACTCTCCCCGAGCCGTGAGCTTTATCATACCTCTGCTTAAAGCTATGTATGGATCCTGCCTCCACTACATCGCTTCCCAAACTATTCCACTTACTGACTACTCTGTGGCTGAAGAAATACTTCCTAACATCCCTGTGATTCATCTGTGTCTTTAGCTTCCAACTGTGTCCCCTTGTTACTGTGTCCAATCTCTGGAACATCCTGTCTTTGTCCACCTTGTCAATTCCCCTCAGTATTTTGTATGTCGTTATCATGTCCCCCCTATCTCTCCTGTCCTCCAGTGTCGTCAGGTTGATTTCCCTTAACCTCCCTCGTAGGAAATACCTCTTAGCTCTGGGACTAGTCTTGTTGCAAACCTTTGCACTTTCTCTAGTTTCTTTACGTGCTTGCTAGGTGTGGGTTCCAAACTGGTGCCGCATACTCCAATATGGGCCTAACGTATACGGTGTACAGGGTCCTGAAGATTCCTTATTAAGATGTTGGAATGCTGTTCTGAGGTTTGCTAGGCGCCCATAGCTGCAGAGTTATTTGGTTGATGTGCGCTTCAGGAGATGTGCCCGGTGTTATACTCACCCCAAGATCTTTTTCCTTGAGTGAGGTTTGTAGTCTCTGACCCCCTAACTGTACTCCGTCGCGGCCTTCTTGCCCTTCCCCAATCTTCATGACTTTGCACTTGGTGGGATTGAACTCCAGGAGCCCAATTGCTGGACCGGGCTGCAGCCTGTCCAGATTTCCCCTTTTTAGTTCTGCCTGTCTTCGATCGAGTGTATTCTTCTCATCAACTTCACGTATCTGCAAACAGGGACACCTCAGAGTCTATTCCTTCCGTCTGTCGTTCACAAAATATCAGAAACAGCACTGGTCCTAGACTGACCCCTGCGGGACCCCGCTGGTCACAGGTGCCCACTCTGAAAACCTCGCCACGTACCATGACTCGCTGCTGTCTTCCTGCAAGTATTCCCTGATCCATTGTAGTGCCTTCCCTGTTATCCTGCTTGGTCCTCCAGTTTTTGCACCAATCTCTTGTGTGGAACTGTGTCAAACGCCTTCTTGCAGTCCCAAGAAAATGCAATCCACCCACCCCTCTCTTCTTGTCTTACTGCTGTCACCATGTCATAGAACTCCAGTAGGTTTGTGACACAGGATTTCCCGTCCCTGAAACCATGCTGGCTGCTGTTGATGAGATCATTCCTTTCTAGGTGTTCCACCACTCTTCTCCTGATAATCTTCTCCATGATTTTGCATACTATACATGTCAGTGACACTGGTCTGTAGTTTAGTGCTTCATGTCTGTCTCCTTTTTTAAAGATTGGGACTACATTTGCTGTCTTCCATGCCTCAGGCAATCTCCCTGTTTCGATAGATGTATTGAATATTGTTGTTAGGGGTACACATAGCGCCTCTGCTCCCTCTCTCAATACCCATGGGGAGATGTTATCTGGCCCCATTGCCTTTGAGGTATCTAGCTCACTCAGAAGCCTCTTCACTTCTTCCTCGGTTGTGTGCACTGTGTCCAGCACTTGGTGGTGTGCCCCACCTCTCCGTCTTTCTGGAGTCCCTTCTGTCTCCTCTGTGAACACTTCTTTGAATCTCTTGTTGAGTTCTTCACATACTTCACGTCTTTTTCCTGTTGTCTCTCCTCCTTCCTTCCTTAGCCTGATTACCTGGTCCTTGACTGTTGTTTTCCTCCTGATGTGGCTGTACACAGTTTCGGGTCAGATTTGGCTTTCGCTGCTATGTCATTTTCATATTGTCTTTGGGCCTCCCTTCTTATCTGTGCATATTCGTTTCTGGCTCTACGACTGTTCTCCTTATTCTCCTGGGTCCTTTGCCTTCTATATTTCTTCCATTCCCTAGCACACTTGGTTTTTGCCTCCCTGAAACCTTTGGGTAAACCATGGGCTCATCCTGGCTTTTTCATTACTCCTGTTACCCTGGGTACAAACCTCTCCTCAGCCTCCTTGCATTTTGTTGCTACATATTCCATCATCTCATTAACTGGCTTCCCTGCCAGTTCTCTGTTCCACTGAACCCCGTTCAGGTAGTTCCTCATTCCTGTGTAGTCCCCTTTCTTGTAGTTTGGCTTCATTCGTCCTGGCCTTCCTGCTTCTCCCTCCACTTGTAGCTCTACTGTGTATTCGAAGCTTAAAACCACATGGTCACTGGCCCCAAGGGGTCTTTCATATGCGATGTCCTCGATATCTGCACTACTGAAGGTGAATACTAAGTCCAGCCTTGCTGGTTCATCCTCTCCTCTCTCTCTTGTAGTGTCCCTTACGTGTTGGTACATGAAGTTCTCCAGTACCAGTGTGTCGTAAGAGGTGACTAAAATGTGGTAGCAAGGGGCTGGTAACCCCCTTCTCCTGTACACATTAATAATTTAAAAGAAATTTAAAATTTAAAAGAAAAACGGTTCATTGAAAAGTATTACAGTTTTTGTTCTAAAATGTTTATGTTTTTTTTATATTTGTAATAATAATGGAAAAGTTAAGTTTACTTCTGTGGGCACTGTATATCTACTTAATGCATAGAGTACAATTTACCCTAAAATTCAGACAAGGTTGATTTCAAGGAGGTCCCCCAAATCTAAAATTAAAAAAAAATTTTGGTTTAGATTTTGTGTTTTAGAGACCACACCTTTTTTATACAGCACCTTAGGCTAGTTAATACTGACATGAAAAAGAATGATAAAAACAAAATCTAATTTATTTGCAAGTTTGCCCATCAGTAAAAATGCTGGATAAAATAAAATTCAGCATTTAGGGAACATCACAAATTCATGAGGCTCATTATATCTGGTATCTGACACTGTTTTACTATCAGTCCTCAACATAAGCATGAAACATTTTGTAGTAGTTGTGCTAATACTACTTTTTGTAACTCACCTTTATGTCCTTATATCCTCATGGCTCTGTGCCGGGGTCGGGGAAGCTTTTGGAGGAGGGCCGGCATCGTATCCAAGAGTGAACAAGAAACTTTGTGTATAAAAGGTTTTGGGGGAGCCCCACCCCACACCCCCTGGTAAAACTGTTGGGGGTACTGTCCGCAGGAAGACACTGGATGTTCTGTAACGGTTTGTCAAGTTCAATTTTAAATAAAGGATTTAAATAGAGGGTAATGTTGACAAAAAAGCAGTCAGTATAATTAAAATTGTTTATTTACATTGTAAATTTCTATTTTAAACTTTTATTACTGTTTTTTCCCACTATACTGAGAAATTCCCCTTTTTTTTATTACATTGCTGTATGTGAATTCACTTTTGTCAATTCCTGTTTTTGGTAAAATTTCCCCTGTATGACCCTGGTGGGTTTTGCACTTGTTTTGATTGTAATAAAAATATTAATAATTTCCCCTATGTGATTACATCCCCCTTTTTTATGATCAGTTGCTTAGCAAAACATACTGAAGATTTTTATTTAAAAATTATTGTTTAGACCTAAAGAGTGTCATGGCCTGGAATGCAAAATACATCTTAAAAGGGACACACCTCAAAAGTTTACATTATACTAAAAAAAATTTTTGGGGTAAAAAAAAAAATGAGTTAGCCTTTTGGGATTCATTTTTCAAAAAAAAATTGCATTTTTTTCTGAAAAAAAATTATTACTATTAATTCTTTCATGAAACATTTACAACCTGTAAACATTTCATTTCTATACATGGAACCCTATTTTTCGTCCTTAATTTTTTTCCAAAAGGGTCGGTCGAAATCCAAAATGGACAAAAGCCAAACAAATTTCCCAAAGAAATAATGTAAAAAAATTTAAATCCATTCCAACACCCAAAAATATTAACAAAAAATACATTTTATAGAAAAAAACATATTTTTAACACACAGAAAACAATGAGAAATAAATATAAAGCACTAACTTCAATGGATAAATAAACATTTAAATCATTTTTTGCCTTTACTGACAACTCTTTTTGGCGTATTCTTTATAATCTGCATCAACTGTCTTGCCTTTTCGCAAATTATCACATCCACAACACAGCCCCTGCTAACTTTTTTTTCCTGATCCACAACAACGACAACTTCCAACATCTCAATCGTTTGCATACTACCACCCTCTACCACCACACAACCACTACCACCCTCAACCACCTCACTACCACCATTCACTACACCTCAAAACCACTACCACCCCACCACCACAAAACCACACCACCCTCTACCACCATCAAACCATACCCCCTCTACCACCATCACAACCACTACCACCCTCTACCACCATACAACCACTCCCCACCCTCTCCCACCATCACCCCAAAACCCCTCCCACCACCCCTCCCCTCCCTCTACCCCAAATTTTTTTGGATGAATGTGTGGAGTATGCTAAATAAACAAGTGACAGGGGCGACTGAGTCACATACATTTAAGGGGACACTCGTTAGGGACGATTTCTAGGGGAGGTACGAAACCAGGGGTAAAATTTCCCCCAAAAATGTGGTCCAAATCCGAAATGTACGATATCGGCACTGGACGAAATCCGGGGTTCCACTGTACATTTTTAAAAAAAAAAAAAGACATTTTCCTATAGTACTTTGCAAAACGAAAAGTGATAGATACTTGTTTACTTACTTCTATACATGCTTAGATCATCAAGTTTTCACAATTATTTATCCACTGTAGTAGGTATTAATATATTTAGTCATCTAATTTATGTTTTGCTCTTTTTTTATTTTTTCCACCTTGTCAGAGAATGGGGAGCCCCCGGGGGAAATGAAAATTAGGGGGATTGAAGAACCACTGGTGTAGGAGATTTTGAGCGGGGGACAGGCCCATTGAGGGGGGTGAACACCACTACGCTACACCTCACCACCAAAAGAATAAAGTTAGCCTCAGACATAAAATTTACCTATTTTTTCAGCAAGTATAAATTTTAGGGTTTTTTTTTTATTACGGAAGCACTTCTATTGTTTATTTCTAATTCTTTGTGAACTGAAGAACTTTGCTTGACTAAAAATTAGGATTGCATTTTTTTTTATATCATTATACATTACATATTTTATGAATCAAGGAAGGAATTAAAATAAACAGTCTTCTGATACTAAGTATGGGATGAGCAATATTTTCATCTGGTCGAAAACTAAATCTAGTATTCAAAATCAGTTTTAAATAAAACTCTAACAACGTAAAACCAAAAATTCCCTTCAGAGACTTCATGTTTTCTTATTACCCTTTTACCCTTTAGCCAAAAATAAGCAACAAAAAAAAATTTTTGTAAAGCAATTTTAAAAAAAAAGCAAAA